TATATTTTTGGGCATAAGGATCAAAATATTTAATGACCATTTACTTTTTATAAATTCATTTGTAGTTTTAATGGTAAAATGCACGACAAAAATACTATTCATGAATGTATTTGCCGGGAAGTATAATAATTCTCGAATGAACTTGAGCAGTTCATGGAACAACTGAATATTCTTTACGAACCTTATGAATCGCTTTTTATTGTGGATGTATACAATGATCTCGTAAATTCCACAGGTGTCGGCAGAAATTTGAGCAAAGGGGTTCACTATAAATTCACTCACTGCTGCCGTCGAAGTTAAAATCTACGGTTGCTGTTCGGAGGAAAAGAGACAAACGATATCCTGAATTATTTGGCAATGTGACGAACACGTGTAAATAGCAACTAAAAGTGAAGTTTTTATTCTAGCATTGGAATCTTGTTCTTCTTCTTGAGGCATTAGACCTGTTGGTCTGTTGCGACTCTATCATCTCTCCATCTTCTTTTTGGTCTTCCTCTGCTTCTTTACCAACGCGGTGTGTAGAAGAGTTGCTTAGGTATTCTAGTATTTTCCATCCTTAATACGTGGTCTATTCATCGATTTTGTCATTTAGAGTGTAAATTACAAGGTTCTCCCTGATGGTCTCGTTTTTCACTTTATCTCTATATTCTATTCTCTATATTACTCCTAGGATCGACCTCCAAAATATCATTTCATCAGCCTGTACGCTGCTATAGAGTTTGGAATTTATAATCCAGTTTTCACTTCCCTAAAGACCACAAGGCACTGCCATAACTTTGTAAAATTTTAGGAGTGTGTCTTTTTGTACCTTACCTCTAAGGGTTATTTAAATGGTACTAACATAAGTTTGAATCTCTGGTTCTTTCTTTCAATATCAACTTCTCTGAGGCATGCTAATTCACATCTTAGAAATCTAAAAGTATGCACTTGTTCAATTATCTTCTAAAACGAGCTTTCGTCTTACGAAATGAGAACCTTGAAAAGCAATGAACTTGATGTAGCTGGAAGTATGCAAATTATAGACAGGGTTCTCTGTAGATTGTCTTCATTATCAATTACTAAAACTTGGTCTTATGCAAACAAAATGGTTTTAATAACATTTGTCTTTTTGAAGTTGTTTTCAGTATTATAAGTTTCTTCCACTCCCACTCCCTTACAACGTTGTCAGGATATGTATTCAAAGGTATTGATGAAATACAACAAACTTGTCTAAACCCTTACTTAATAGTTTCTTCTCAAAGATGTGCTGAGTTTAGTTTTACGTTGATATGTGCACCTGCCTATGTACTGCGGACACCTCTCCATCAGGTACAGTGGTATTCCGCTTTCATAAAGTACATTCCACAATTTACTTCTAACGCTACCAAATACGTTTTCTGTGATAAATAAAAACAATGTATGCTTTCAAATTGTATTCTCATTTTTCTCCATAGCTTAAGGGAGAATATATTGCCTGAGCAAGATCTTAACTTCCTAAGACTCGTTTGTTCTTCCAACAATGTTTTCTATGTTGTTTCTGATCTTATTTACATTTTTTTTTGTGCGTATTTTGTATGCTGTGTTCAACAAACGTATATCTTGTGTCTCCTAATCTGTTCGTGAGTCTCTTTTGAAGATAGGATGAAAGATACCAACTGAATGGAATTCATTTTTTTTTTAATTCCTGATGAGAGCATTGATTTAAAAATTCTAATAAAATTTAGATTTGGCTTCTCCAGGAAGGTATTAAAGAGCTTTACATTGTTCCAGAGACTTTTCGATTTTTACAGCTCTGTAGAGCTTCCTGAAATTCCTTGTATTCTGTTCAATCGATTATAATATTCACGTTAAAAGTCAATCATTACTATTCTGTTTAC